TCTAATAAAGGTTTTCATGCTCTTCTACGACTATGTATTGGAATCTTTAATTCGTCGCACAAATCGTAAAACAATTTTTTATTAACCTTTATTTTACTTGAATTTCACCTGCTAAGTAAATGCAAATGAAGATAGTTAAGTAATACAGTAATAATTTTTTTTTAACCGACAAATTATGTAACAAAAATTAATAATATTAACGTTTGCGGAATATAACAAATCTTCTCGTTTATTTTCATGTATTCTATTAAATTACGATGAGCGTAGCAAACAAAAATTTTTTACTGTGTTGGCAAGAGACCAATTATAATACTAGTAACATACTTCAATGGTGTTATATTTACTGTGGTATTTAAAACTCTGTTTTTTATTAAAACTTTTGACCCAACTCCTCGTATGACACTTGAGAAATTTCAACAATTTACACATTTTACAATTTTCTTGTGTAGATGGCACATAAATTTTCAAATGATAAAGTTTACAATAACGTTATCCTTTCATGCATGCGCAAGTAGTTGAAAATACATAAAACTACATAAGAATAAATAGCTCAAAAAAGAAACATAATCTGGGAAATAGATGAAATTAAATAATAATCAGTAAATAAATGTATAACTAATCATCAAAACGCTTATCAAGATAATATACTATTTGACTTTGAATACTTACGTATTTATATTTCGTTTTTTTCCGTTAAAATATGTCTTATAGATTATATATTTTATACGTTCCTAATAAGTCTTTGGATACCTAGCAGGATCAATCGTTTTTACAATACGTTGATACGTTTTCGTTTTCGATCAGTGAATCAGTATTTATAAAAACTTTTATAAATGAGAACAACTGCGGAATTTTTGACTATGACGAATTTTCAGAAGGAAGGAAGAAAAAGGTGTTCTAATAAAACAGCCTCTGTAAGAAAAATTTTAAGAATCAAGAATCTTGAGATAATAATGAAAAAAGAAAGGAGAAAATGTCAGACATCATTAAAAAAGGATTGGCCAACAGCGAACGAATAGAAGCATAAGACCGTCGAAGAAGCAAAACCGCATCAGTTTCAGTGATTTGTAATGATTTACTTTCATAGACAAGCATATTCTTTCCAAGATATTGGATTGCTAAAACCACTACTACTTTATTTAATATTTAATACAAATCTTACTGACAGAAGAGTTTTGCGCAAAAAGATTTTTATTTTCCCGATGTTATACATACCAATGTATTTAAATGCATTTTTACTTTAAATGTGAATATGGATGATAAATGCTGTAATTGATTTTATATTGGCTCCATAGGTATTGTCGCGTATACTAATAATTTTACATTTTCATGTATAGAATACATGCAAACGGAATTGGTGCCACTTGCTCGTGCTAATATGCAATGCCTTAGTCGTAAACTAGCTAAAGTTTTCGAAAAACTATTTTTCACTGCTGGAAACAACTGTTTAAGCGATTTTAATGATTTTTTTTCAAATTTTTTAAAAGCAGTCGTTTTTGCACCTTTATTTTTTGCCCATTAATTTCAACAGAGGTTGTAATCTTTTTTACCTGGCATTAATTGAGTTATATCACCAGACTGATGAAATTTAATTATTGCATTCACATCCTCTGCTTCTAAGGATGTATGATTTTTTTTGGATTTGTATCACTCAAAAGTTATTCTTTGCATTAAAACACATTTGCTAATGAATAATGGCATTTAATTATAGAATAGTTACAGTACGAACTATAATTCTTCCATATTAAATGACAGATATCACATTATCACTAATTTATTTCTTATTTGCATTAAACCTCATTTCCAAATGGATGATTTTGCTTAATTAAGAAATTATTTCTACATACTACATAATATACTATACTATAGTAATGAGAAAAATGATGAGACGACAATACCAAGGCGTACCTTAATTGCAACCGACTCACCGATTTCACATATCGCGCGAGTTTATTTATTTTTTTCTCCACTACAGCTGGAAAAATAACCCAAGACCCTCGTACACGTATTATATGCCTTTTTTTTTTATACAACCTGTAAAGAAAGTTTTGGGCTAATTAAAAAAGGGTTGGTCGAGTTTTCTTGAAATCCGTACGGTTTGTAAAAGAACTACCCATATACGCGTTTATGCATATTTGACCCATTCATTTTTATGAGAAGACCGACTTGTGAATCCAATTGAAAATTTCCTCATAAATGCCATTTCACGTGATTCTTACATAAAATTCCATGTTCAAATAAGATTTTTTTCCGCCCTCGGGTGGTTTTGGAAGGCTGGTACTTCCTCGGGCGAAAAAACAGTTTTCCGAAACTCGTTCGAAAAGTCTCCTTTACGAACCTCGTTACGTCCCTCGCCTTCGGCTCGGTTCGCACACAGAGACTTTTCAAACTCGTAGGAAAACTACCATTTCCTCCTTTCGGGCGGAAAGTGAGGGCCGAAAGTACTTTCAGTGCCTGTTTCACGGGCGGAAAGTGGAACCTCCCGCCCGCAAATAAGAAAAATTAGTAAATTTTGTAGTTGGTGCTGTACATTATCAATATGTTATGAGGCTCTTTTACAGTCAAGCTTGAATCAGATGTCGCCAGGGCACGTCGCGGCTGTCATGGCCGTCGCACTTACACACCGTCAAATTTACAGTTGTGTATTGTGTCCGTGAGCCTATCTGTGTGATGAGCAAAGCAGAAGACATAATCTTTGGAAATGATTGCTGTTGTTTGCAGACAATTTTTGTTTGCATTTACGTTTAAAGATAGTAGGAAAAATGAAGTGCAGTGTAATATCCTGCGATAAGAAAGTGAAATTTAAATTTCCTTCTGATAGTGTGATAAAAAAAAAGTGGCTCGAAGCAATTGGGAGACCAACATTTTTGCCGCTCCCAAGTCATGGCTTATGCCTCGACCACTTTGCCTCCACGAGTTCTGCTTTTCTTCCACTGACTCTTGCTCCTTTCCCTTTTAAAAGCTTTTTCAATTCTGAAACTTTTAAGCTCCCATAATATTCTTTCTTGTCTTCCTTATTCATTTCAAAATTTCAAATATTGCGCTTTACCACTACACTTTACTTTCCTATGTACATACAATACTGAAAAGTAATGTTGTGTGAGTGAGACGGCCATGACAGCCGCGACGTGCCCTGGCGCCATCTGATTCAAGCTTGACGGTAAAA